TACTTTGAATGATAGTTAGTTAGTTGGTTGGTTAGTTAGTTAGTTAGTCAGTTAGTTAGTCAGTTAGCTAGTCAGTCACAGGTTATTTAGTTAGTTAGTTAGTTAGTCAGTCACAGGTTATTTAGTTAGTTAGTTAGTCAGTCACAGGTTATTTAGTTAGTTAGTTAGTGCCACCACAGTGCACTGTGGATTGTTGGTATTAGGTGGTTGTATGCAATAGATATTTTGGCATTCGTCAGGAACAACGATTTCACTTTAGGTAAGTTTTTTTGTCACTGCACAAAGTGACACAGTATTATTACTATTTAGACAAATTTAGAACATTAAGTCAAGTGATAAACTGTCGTTGACAATTTATCGAATTCATAATGATGTGTGATTGTATACTACAGCAGACAAACCTACCGAATATGCGGTTACACTCTGTCACACTGGCCAAGTTCCGCTTAACTGATGAAAGCAGGTCGATTATAGTTTGGTTCAAGTAGCCATTTCTCCAAATAACAGACATAAAAATAACGGAAAGTTATGAAAAGATAGACAACTGAGATGTTTGTAGAGATGGGGAGGGGATGCGGTGAAATAAGCAAACCGAAGTTAGTGACCCTATTCACTTTACAGTATGTGAAAAGGAGTGGATTCCATTCTGAATGGATTTAAACCACCTAGGTAAGAGTTTTCATTTGGTGCTTAGACTGACTGACTGGTTTCAACATAGAACTTTACACCTATGTGCAGCAGTTCAAGTCGCCACAATTCACTTAGCACACAAAGCTAGAGAAGAAAGTAAAAGGAAATGCAAAATAGAGACAGTAAATAGAGATACATGGTAAAAAGAATAGTAATATCGAAGAACAATATAGTTTCATTAGAAGTGATAAGTCACAAGGAGTGGATGCATCTGCGCCAGCCATTGACAACGATTTTGAGCCATAGCACCAATTGTCTTCAGCCACTGGTGTTTACCATACCGAGGACCCCAACCAGGAAGTCTACATCTTCCTATGTGGCTTAAACTAACTATTGTGGATTTCATTGACTGATGAAGTCATGTTTTGGTTTGGCCACTACTGGCTAGCTCTTTTCCAACCTGACCCTATGTAGGTTAATATTGGTCGGTCAAGGAATGCGATGGCTAGATATGAGTATCACTTGCCCTAACCATCTGAACCGATGTAACTGCACAACCTCGTCGATTGATTCCCTCTCATGCTTAACTAGCGCTCGACTGATGACTAACCTCAGTGTTGTTCACCCTATTATAACAATTCACGTGGCAGATAGAATGCAGAAACCTATGATCAAAGACAGCTAACCAGCAGGGCTTTTCATGTCTTCCACTCTCAATGACCAGGTCACATAGCCAGCCATAAACGAGGACGGAGTTGACTGATGAGCAGTGCACTTGCCCCTTGATCAGTAGCCAGACGGATATCACGTCTACGCCAGAGACGGAGTAAACTGGCATATGCGAAACTAGCCCTCTGTATCCATACTGAGATTCCTTCAGCGATCAATCCGCTATCGCCGGCTGATGCAACTTACCGTCAACCACTTCACTCTCTATTTCTATGCTCGGAGTCAGTGTGGTCCAATCCTGTACCACCATCTTACATTTGGCGGAGCGAATCGCACGCCAAACGTTAACAGATTGCAACTCAAGGCGTTCGGAAGACTATGCATTTTGTCAGCGTCTTCGTCCAGGTGGAGGACTTTATCATCTGCATATTCTAAGTCAACGAGATTATTCCCTCGTAATAAGTCAATCCCTGAGGCTCCGAAGAGAGTTAGGTTTAAGTCCATTAGAACATCTACGGTGAAACTGAATAGAAATGGCATAGTGGGCATCTCTGATGGACACCAATCGTTGTCACCGCTTCAGATGACAACTCACCGTAAGCTCTCACCTGGCTATATGAGTTAGATTAGAGTGTCTTTTTTATTGAAATGTATTTTCTTAGCATTCTCCTTACAACCAAACATCTCCAGAGTACCTCTTGGTCGACAGAGATTTCTTGAATGATTAACAAGCTGGGTCTGGCCTAAAGCCTGCCTGGCTCTCTCCTGTTTGTGCCTTCCGAGCACCACTTAGTCTATGCATTATTATTGAGCCTAGGACTCTAGATACTATATTGGTCAAGCTGATCCCTCTGTGATTATCACAGGAAGACTTGTCTCCCTTCTTGTATATGGGGATGATCAGTGACTAACACCAACCCCAAAGGACTTCCTCTGATCCATAGACGCTGCCGAGTACCTCAGCTAACGCGGAGAGCAAACTGTATCCACCTTACTTAAATACCTCCAGGGTCATTCCATCGGGTCCCACAGCTTCGCCTTGTTTCACACTAGTGAGAGCCTTAGTAACCTCAGTTAGGGACGGAGGATCTGTGTCTGTATCCCATTCAGGGAGGTGTTGGATGTTCGGTAGGTTGGGCGTGGCTGTAGGCCAATTAAACTGCTCCTCAAAATGTTCTTTCCAGTCGTTTATCCTGAGGGCTAATTATGGTGCCACTTTCCTCAGAGATTGTTTCACTTATCATTTGCCTCTTACCACCTGTTTCGCTGATAAGTCAAACTAGTTGTCTGGTATTACCAATCGCCAATACCTTTTCCATCTCTCTCACTTTTGTCGCCCACCACCGTTCACGGTCACCAGGAAGACTTCTTGTTAGTTTTCGTTTGAATAGCTTCCGTTCCTCATCATAATCGGAGCTCGCCAGAATCAGTCTTCTTGTGTCAATCAGTTCGGATGAGGTGGTAGAAATCCGATGTCTGTTACCAACTTTAGGTTTCAGGTTATTAACGGCTTTTACATCCGTGTCTACAACTAACTGTATGTTGTGCCAGGCTTTCTCAGGAACAGAAGGAGTTCCGCTGTCGACCTCAGATACTCGTTTCTCTGTTTCTTCCTTAAATAGGGACTCAGAGTCTCGATCTAGTTGGGGACGTAACTACTTCTCTGCCAACAATATTTTATGTCCGTTTAGTCGTAAGCATAAACGTACGCGAACCAGGGCGTGGTCGGAGTCTATGTACGTGTTCCAGGAAGAACCGCAGTCCCCTATTATCCCTCACCAACGATGCTCTATAGCTATGTGGTCTCTCTGAGTCCAGCGTTGATTTGGTGATGGAGGTCGCCAGGTTAGGGAATGTTTCTCCTGATGCCTCAAGTAAGTGCTAATTAGGAACTGATGATTAACTGAAGAGAACTGTAGAAGACGATCACCGTTGTCCGTTCGTCGTCAGGGAATTCCATACGTATCACCTATACTATATACTTCTCAGTATGGCACGACTTCCCCACTTGAGCATTGAAGTCGCCTGATAAAACAACTATATCTGGAAGTTTTGCCTTTTGCAGCAAATTAGACAGTTTCAGGTAGGAGTTATCCTTTAGTTCATCTGAACTGCAGTCTGTTGGGGCGTAATCGGAGACTGTGAAAAGACAATGACGGGTAACGCCGCCCTTCCTTCTTCTAACGGACCTGCTCAGATGGACCGCACACATACGACGACCTACTCAGATCCAGTCAAGAAGTGATTTTTCTGCCCTAACGCTCAGTATTATCCCTACACCTGCGGGTCTTCGAGAACTAGCTGAGGAGTCTCCTAACACCCTTAAGGTGGATTCTGCAGATTCACCATGTTGACCGGGTGAGGTTAAGTGAATGGCCACACTCGGATCTTGTATGAGTGCCTCCGAAGCACAACATACATCCCTAGCTCAAGACGCCAGAGTTCTTGGTAGTGATGTCTGTTGTCCGGTTTGGCAGAGGGAGGGTCCTGACGTTGAAAGCTCCAATATGAAGTTGGCGACGTAGCTTTAAGAGGCTGTCGGAGGTGTCTTACTGGCTCTCATCGTTGTTTGTAGTCACAGAGTGAAGTGATGACTGACTAGTCTGCAGAATAGTACCGACTGTATTAGAAAAATAAGATGATGAGGGTGATGTGGATAAAGGAGAATGATGCTCGGGAAGACCTCGTATGCTCTTGGAAGTGTGTGGGCGTTTGTTACATCCCAGCTGCCTACACCATGGAAGTTGATTGAGTCTTCGGGTACTTGAAATAAGAAGAGGTTTAGTATTGGGTGACCAGAAAGCCCAGGAGACAACTGCTTGAGCCTGGCCGGTCAATGGCTTCTTGGATTGGTTCCGTATTAGCAAACTTACCGCCAGTTACGGACCGCCTGAGTGTAAGTCGGGATGTGCAGTTGTTGGGGTCGAACTTTTCTAACCCTATCTCTCCAGAGTGGAGAGACAGCATATCTGGCTGACATGCTGGTCATCTGAGGGAAACACCCTACTGCTGTTACATCCCTGTTCCCCAGCAGTATATCTGCGCCCACAGGCCCCCAGCATAGTGTAAAAAATTCTTACACAATGCCAGTAACTCCTTTTAGTCTAATCGCTATCCTAACAGCCTTCCTGGCATGATAGAACCTGCAGGAACAATGCTTCGTAGAATTGGAAGGACTCCAGTGAAGCAACTTAACCTTCTTAATACAGCTTAGACCAACTTCAAGAATTATTCTTCTGGGTTGTTCTAGTCACCTTTAACTCTTCACTCAACGTATTCAGTTGAACAAGACAGTGGCTGAGAAGGGCATGCCACTTGTTCTGTAAATCTCAATAAAAGGTAATTAACGATTTCAACTCATCTTATCCAACATTCTACACCCAACTTCGTTACCACTTTCTCTGTGGCCCCAAATGTGAGCGTGAACGATCCAAAACTTTTTAGTATTGTCAACTCTTCTACTTTCAGTATCCATTTGTCGCAGCCAAAAGAACACCTGATATCAAACTATTATTTAAAAATTATGTAAAATTTTAATAATTCTGTTAGGTGTGATTTGTTTGACATTCCAAAAGTTTCTGTAGTGCATATATGTGACACAAATAAAATCATTTCAGCTTTGTAGTATAACACGATTGGTCACGTGGATGGCCAATTTCAATTTGATACAGATCAATAAAAGTTTAGAAGTAACCAGCTGAATTCAATCATCATCATCATCATTGGTTAGTGTTGTATCACTGAAAAAAAAATATATGTATATAAAAACATATTATACAGCCAGGATGCTGTCTAATACCGTTTTGCAGGCGAATAAAAATTGAGACATGCTTGTTTGGCATCAAACACTAGTCCTGTAAAATTTTATTTACCTTGTCAAACAGAATTATCTATTTCCTCATGTAACAAGATATCTACATGCACTGGATTAACATATTACACAACAGTCGACAATTGAAAGACTATGACTTTGTAAAAAGTGAAACATGCACGCCTCTGTCTAATTTAAGTATTTACACCAAATCGATAAATACTGTAAACACTATCAATCAACAGAATTACAGTAATAACCAAACAATCGATGATTTAGACACATACACAGAGCCCAGGAAGTTGTCCTTTAGTGAAACAAGAAGGAAAGCAAGGTGGAAAAACAATTCAAATCCGATCAACAGTTACCGGTCATTTACACCATATGATACAAGACCGAAGAAACGACATGTATCTCATAGCAAACCGCCTTGGAGGTTTTCTAAGTATGAGAAACCACCAGAGGTATTTTTGAATACTAGTCAACACTCTATAAATAACAGACAAGTAGAAAATGTGACTAAACGAGAGACTCTGAGGTCAACAACACGAAGAAGACCACACAGTACAACACATCAACAAAACTTTTCCAGACTAGGCAGGAAAAGTGTTGATCGGAAAAAATATATTCGTAATCAGTCGAGTGACGAAAGTCCTAGTGATTGCTATCAAGATAAAATTACGTATGACAAAAATTCCTTTGGAACCAGTTCAGACAGTAGTACAGGCTTTGACAGTACAGTGAATGTAGGATCTAATCGAAGACAAAGTGTTAGACGTTCTAAAAGTGGATCCCATGGAAGTATTTCTGATTTCGTAACACGACCTGCTAGTGAATTTACAAACTGTGTGCATGATAAAGTTACGCAAACCTCTGTTATTCGAAATTCTTATGATGAAGAATTTCCTACAATCAGTCCATTCATTGAAAAAAGTGACACATGCTCTCTGTGTTTATACCGGCATCTTAATAAGGTATGTGCTAAAAGGCCAATCACTTTAAGTCATTCAGTCAACAGAAAAAATAGCGGAGTATTCACAGTAAATTATGATGCAACAGGGCAGGATGAAGTATGTTTAAACAGTTCCAATTTGAGGAAGCGGTTTTCTTTTACACATGAAACAAACATCTCAATTCCACCTTCAACATCCATAGACAGACAGGCGTGTACACTGATAAATCAGCAGTCGCCTCCATATTTATCTGTAAATGATACGCCGTACTATTCACGATCACCGAATAGTTGGTGCAGTGAAAGTAGATTACATGGGCCAACTACATGTTATCCTGTTTGCAATCCACCCTATTGTTCCGACTTAACAAACAGTCAAAGTGAAGTTACCGCGGTCAGTCAAAAATCAAAATACTTAGACCAACAAGATGGTGACAAACTTCTTAACAGATTTAAGCTGAAAGATTTGCACACGACAGAAAAATATTCCGGCAAGGACAAACCAATAACGAGTACAAATGTAAATGCCAATAAAACATTTGTTTCCAATCAAAAACAATATCATGTTCCTCATTCCCACTACCATCAATATCAGGAGGTGGATAGAAATACACAAGAACACAATAACACTTCTTCAAATACAACTAACTTAGTCAGTTTAAACACTGCGAAAACAAACTGTTCACCTCATAATCATCAAAACGACTCCTCACACTGGTCACATGTGTTTACACTTTATTCATCAAAGCCGTTAGATGATAATGAATACATTATCAGCTCTTGTAAGCACATGCCAATCGTGTGTGAATGCTCGCATGATTCTATGGTGAAAATTAACCATGCATGCAACACAACGACCAACGAAACTTCAGACAGTGGTACAATGCACAAATATCATCTGGTACACTGGTCTGATTTGGAGAAAAATCAAAACGCAAAAAATGGTAAAACTGTTTCTGATTCACCGGAGAAACACCGCATAACTGGTGAATGTGCAAAGTGTCCATGCCATCAAACAGAAAATACTCCCACTGCTAATACTAACCCAGCTAATAATATTAATAATAATAACTAGAATAGCAATAATACTTCTATCGAAAGAACGCAAGGCAATGCAGTGATCTTCAGGTTGTTTGAAGTGCAGACAATGCATGTACACGCCTTTAATAATTTCATTTCATTTAGAAATAATCATGGAATACATCAAAACAGTATTTATTTTTAGGCTTATAAATGGCGGTATTCCATCCAGTATAACATGATTAAATTAATCAATATGATTTAAAAATAAGCCAATCTTAACAGTGGCTGATAATCTAATATGTTTATTATATACAATTAATCATCAAGGTTGATGTGGTTGAACATGGTCTAGTGAAAGTGATTATATAAAAGCCTGAATTAAACGTTATACCAAGAAAAAAAGGGCGATAAGTATCACAAAACAATCATAATTGGTGAAAAATAATTCCACTACGGAGGGAAGATTTTTACACTTAATCATCGATGAAAATTTAATTCCAGTATAATTAAGTTTGCTAACATTAAATATAAATGATTAAAACTTAAGACAGCTGAACTGTACAATTTTATGTGATAATGATTAAGGAAAATACAGAAAATTCTTTGGAAAAAATCAATGCTGCAACGCAGTGTAAAATGCGATATGCTGATAGTAGCGATAACAATTGGAAAACTGGTCCAGCAAAAGCAATGACAGCGATCCATTCCTCTACAGGACTACTATCTAGTAACGGCATTAGCATGAGCAAGTTGAAGACATTAACTCATGTAAATCAAATCGACAAAAATTACTTCAGACGGAGCAGATCTGAAGTAGGCACGAAACAGTGTAGAAATGAAAAGATGAATTTAGTAGTAAGCACTGGGAAGAAACAGATATGGAAAGACCAGTCACTCATAACAATCAAATCACCCCCGTTATTACAGAAAACCAGAAAATTACCACTGAATACGACTAGTGGAATTAACACAGTTAACAAACAAATACTGACAGGTAATCGAAACAGAAGGCATAAAAGTGCTTCGTTACATAGAAAGCAGCCAATTTTGATTATTGTGCTAAATGACTCCAGAAGAAAAGCTGACTATCCAGAAAAGAAATATCGTACCTTGAAGAAAACCTGTGTGGCTGCTTCAGTGAATGTTGAAAAACAGAACATTGATGTTATCCGGGAATGTGAAGAAAAGCCTCAATACAGTAAGACAGTGGTTATCGTTAATGAGAAAATATGCTTCTGTAAACCAGACTTACTAAAGCGACAGCTGATTCAAAGCGTTGCGGAAAATATTCTTCTGTCCTCGTCAGGATCCCATAATATTGGAGATGATTTTTTCAAATTGATATTAATTATGAATTTAACACAATATTTACTTCACTGCTGTCACACTGAAATTAATTCAGACATTCTCAGTGAAAGCATTATTGGTGAAGATTTATGCAGTGTAGTAGTGGAACTGCAGAATTTATCAGCACATCAACCTCAACAGTATTACGTATTATTGTTTGAAGAAAGTTCAGCAGTGGATATTACTCAAGCGTCAGCTGACGATGGCTGGATTGAAGAGATGCAAATATTACTGGAAAGCTGCACTGATAATGATAATAGTAATGAACAACACAATGAACCTACTACTGTTCCAACTAATACAGTAATTTATATCACATTAATGAACCAAAAAGAGTTAAAGAACATGCTGAGGATAATTCTACGAGTAGAAGAACAGTACAAAGGTGAACAGGTCACACAGACAATTAGGCGTGATAATGTTAAAATTGATAATTTAATTGTGACACCATATTTACAGACTTATCCAACTTACAGTAAGCATCAAGAATTGAACATTACGGAAAAGATATCTGAACAACCAGTGAACATGCGATCCAGTGGAATATTAAACCTGGAATTGCTAAAATCACAGTATGAAGAAAATAATTTTGTAAGAAATCAATTCAGCCCTGTTCATATAAATGAAAAGAATTCAATTGCAATAGACGTACCACAGCAACCTCTTATTGAATTTATTTTATCACACACTGAAGCAATAACTAAAGATCATTCACAAATTAACAACATCTCTGACCATTATCAGTCAGTAGAAGTTCGGAGGCTCAGTCATAAGACTGATACTGCTAGTGGATTCTGCAACTGGTTAGTGAAGTTTATAAATTCAGGATGTATAAGGCGTAAACGAAAAGCACTACCCCGAAAATCTTTAAGTCACGAGTCCATATTATCTCCCGTTTCACAGAATATCAATGATATAATATCACTCAAAGAAGTTTCACACTTGTTGAGTTTACTGTCTAACACAGATGAACATAAGTTATCAATGCTTGAATCGACTGAAACACTCAATGCTCCCGACATAAGAACGATGCTCTTAAATGTACAGCAGCTAATAAAACTAAAACATGAAGATATAGATCCTAAAAGAATTTCAAATGATGAGGATCAGGATTTTAACAAACTATTACATAGTATTAAAACACAAATACGCTTTAGTGACGAAGACTCTATCCATGAAGACAACTACAGAGAAGACTGTACAAATATCAGTGGAGATAATAGGAAATCAAATTCACTGAGGAGAAGTGAATTACCGGTAAACGACGAAATAAAAACCATGAGTGAATATAAATCTTCTGCAAATGATAAACGTCAGGTGGAAGTTGAACTGAAACAACACTGCAAACAGGCCAACAGTGAATTATGCGACCCAGGTGATAGGTGGCATCTGAATACAGTGAAGACTGTAGATTTTGTATCAGCACCATCGTCAGTTTTAGCAGTTGAACATCAGAAACAAGAAACACCATCGTCATCAGTGCTTACCGACAAGACGCACCAGCCAACAATGCGACACACACATAAGCACTTAAAACAAATAAAGCAGAAACAATTGAAAAAGAAGGCCTCAACAAATATTACCAATTTATTGTTGAAATTAATTGACAGAAAACGCCAAAATATCGTTGATAACAGGATGTCTGAAGATAGAATCAGTCAACAGGAACAAAGAGAGAGAATTGTTAGCAGTTCGCAGAAGACAGAAGGGACATTGCATCTTAAAGAAAAGGATGATAAAACTTCACCGGCAGGATACGCTAAAATAAGAAAATCTGAATTTCTTGTCAAGCAGAAACCAACAGGTGACGTTGAATCGGAAGTAAACAAGTTAAGAATACAATCCAAAGAAGACAGTATAATCCGTGAATATCATCTACGAGACAGTACCATCTTTCCAAGAAGTAGAAGCGAAACAACTGTGGGAAATAAACCAGAGATAGAAGTCCAGGCTATAATTTGTGTCGACAATACAGTTTTGGAGACTGCACTTGAAAGACTCTACGCATCTTTTGAAATATCTTCGACTAATGAATGGAACCAAACATTGGGAATGTTCATTGTTATAAGTGATAAGCACAGAGCAGAAATACAAGACGTTTATAAATTAAACATAAAACGCCATGATAACTATATTCTTGAACCTGATACAATGAAATTCATATACATAAGTAACAGACAGGTAAATTACCAGGTAGGCGAATTTCTCATACTGCAGTTACAACCTGTACAAGATATAAACAATTTAGAAATATTAGAAAGAATGCAAGATTATATTAAATGGATGTTGGTAAGCGAAGAAGAACCACTTGAACAAAATTATTTAATGTGTACAATAAACTTACGTTTATTTAGTAAACTGGAAACACGTAGACACGAACAGCTACAAATCGAAGATGAATTATCTATCACATTCTCAGAGTCTATAATAAAACACCACTACATGAACTCAATGCATAGTTTAGAAGTATATAGGCCTTCATATAGATGTTTTCAAGCTTGTAGAATACCATTTACTGAACCACCAGGATTATATCGCTATGGAGAGGGTACAAACACACGTGAGGACGAATATGATGATGCAACATGTCTGACCGGCAGTTTAGTCTCTTTCCTAACATCATCGGATAAAATCCTCTACGGGGACAATAATAAAGACGATCAAATACACTGTATAAGACAGTATAACAGTATGACAGAGGCGTCTGTTTTTAATGATTATGATGATAATGATGAGAGTGATTCATACTGTCTACGCCATCATAGCTCCAGTGATCAACAACTAAGACTGACAAAAATTAATCCAGTGCTTGGAAAACCTGTAAACAACTTAAAAACTAAAAAACAGCAATTATATTTTCCAGTATTATTGCAAAGAGAAACTGAACTTTTATTTCAGAGTGTTGAATTGTCTAAAATAGACTCGAATGAATCAGCAACACCAACACCAGCAACAATGACGGTGATCACTATGCCCACAGCTGAAATGAACAGTGTATCGTCTTGTAGATATATACAATATTGAGTTGGTTGAATTCAGTGACACAGCATCATCCGCGAAAATGTGCTGAGTTATTTTAGGTTTCAGTACTCCAGTGCAATGCAATATTTGAGTTATAGATATTTTTACGCATTCATTATGTTATTTTAAGCAGAAGGGAGACCATCAATCGCTTACACTTTCAGACTTCAAGCATACACTTCGTTTAGATGAAAAGTGATAAAGTTATCCAAGAAATGCCTGAATGAGAAGCATAAATATATGCAAACTCTCGTTTCTCCTTCATTTGTTCATTTCTTTAGAAGACTGTTCTCTTCTTTAGTCCGAAAAACATCTCATGCACTTTGAGATCTCGTTTGCATTCTACTTTAAAAATAACCACTGATTTATAATAAAACTTTTGTTTTTTTTCCACTCTTATCTGTTTCGGCTTATAAATACATAATTGTATGCTTAGAAATGCGTTCCATTCATCATCACATACATACAGCATTCTTTGCCTTCATAGCAATGATTACAATGTCTAGGCAGAGGATAATGCAGAAATTCATCAGCCAGTTGCCAGCTGACAGTGTTGTATTCGGTTGGTTTTCAGTGTTGATTGTCACTGTTATTTCTACACAATGAGAACTAAGTGTTATGTAGGCGGCAATGTATCACCTGAAGAATTTTTGTTCTTGGCAAACGTGTCGATCTGTTTTTAATGGAATCTTTAAATATTCCCATTTATAATATCAGAACAAGACATGTAAGCGAAAAATATAACAATTCAAATGAGTTTGATTAATTAGATATGATAGAGAAGATTTGTAGCTCAGGTGGATGATTTTGATGTGGTTGTGTTCTCTGAGCTGGCTGGCTGGTTAATTTGCGAAGCTTTCATCGCTCTAGTGGGCGGGCGACATCTCCCTTCAGCGCATACTCCAATTTGAAGTGAGCTTTTAGATTTCTCCACGAGTTTATTAGTCATCTCTCCTGGTAGTTAACCTTGGACGCGATTGGTTGTTTTTGTTTATTTTCACACCTTCTATGTTACTTGTATCGACATTGGAACTGATTGTTTCTTTGACTTGAACTTTAACCCTTTGTGTTTGTTTGTGTGTGTGAGGTTTCTTTCTTATCGGTTGGTAGATTTTGTCTATCTCGATGTGTCTATTGATTGATGATTCACAGGAATACCAGGTAGGCTTCTAAAAGTTCTCTAGCATTCTTATTGTTTCCTTTGCCTAATATTTGAACGATGGTTGTCCCAGTCGAATTGATCTCCGTGGTTGTCTGTGTGTAGTGAAGCAATATGAGGGAGTGGATGTCATGTCTTTTGACAGCTAGCTTATGTTTGTGGATACGAAGACGAAGAGGACTTGAACTTTGGCCAATGTAGTATTTTTCGCAGTTGTTACAATTTATTTTATAGGTGATGTTGGTTTTATCTTCTTTCGTTGTTGAGTTTGTCTTTTGGTTGACATAGAACTGAGTGAAGTGACTTTGTCGGTTTGTGTGAGCCGTCAATTCTTAAAGGTTTGAAGAGTCTTGTAGTGATTTCTGAGATATCCTTTATAAATGGTAGAGCAATTTTCTTTGTGCTTTCCTTGAGGGCTTTTGGTCTGATAGGTTGGCTTGGGGGTGTATGTCTCTTGATGAAATTCCTTGGATATCCATTCTTTTGGAAGACGTCCATGAGATATCTTTCTTCAATTTTCCTTAAGATGAAAGTGCTGCAATGAGTCCTAGCTGGCCCGCTTGAATAGTATTGTATGCAATTCCTTTTGTGTGTTATTGGATTGTTGCTGTTGTAATTCAGGATTTGGTCTGTGTGAGCTGATTTTCTATAAACTTCAGTTTCTAATTCCTTTGTGGTTGTCCGCTTGACTAAGACGTCCAAAAATGTGATTTGGTTTTCGGATTCCTCTTCTCTTTTGAATTTGATGTCGTTAAAGACGTTGTTTATTAAGTTGTGAGTTTTATTCATCTCGTTTCTCTTGATTATTACAAATTTGTCGCATATGTAACGTATCTAAATCTTGGGTTTGATCTTTGGTAGTACTATGTTTTCGAGCCTTTGCATCACTGCTTCTGCAATGAAACCTAATATTGGCGATCCCATGGGTGTTCCTTTGACTTGTTCATATATTTGGCCGTTGAACTGGAAGTACGTTGTTAGGCATAGGTTTATGCATTCCATCCAGCTTGTGTGTTGCATTTTTGATTGTTGTGGGAGGTGTTCATCGTTTCTGAGTAATTGTTCCATGGTCTCTTTTGCTAGTTTTTGTCCGATTGAGGCAATATAATGCTGTTACGTCAAAGGATATCATTATTTCTTGTTGATCTATTTGGATGTGTCTGATTTTCTTTAGGAATTGGATAGCAGACTTGATGGAGTGTTAGGCAAGATTCCGTTAAGCGTTTCAGTGGCTTAGCAAATGTAATAACCTGCCTGGTAACCTGAGTAACAGTGTTTCCCAATTTATGAATTATTCAATACCTAACTTCCGTGACCTCATTGTTCCAATTATATACAGTTCTTGCTGCTATACACATCAGCTTTTTTTAACATGTTCGGATATGTTAAGGGTAACAGAAAGGTGTAACGATTAATGAGGCCCATGTTATGTGTTGGTCGTTAATCGACCTGAACTAATTCAACTTCTTACAACGCAACGTACATCAGACTTGACGTGTACATTAGTGATTGTGGGAAAAAGTAATCCGATTTCAAAGTCTCTGTATCTTATTTGCTATAGGACTAATGCTCCGGTGCCTGAGGGCTCTAAATCGATTAAGAACTTCCAGGAGAAAATCAGTCTTAATGGGTCAGTAGTTGTAGCGTTAATGGTTAAATTCTTGATGGATGCCAAGACAGATAGATCACAGTGTACATGACTACTATACTTGAAGTAAAAAGCCTTTCTTATGTGCCTATCAACGACGACCTACCTTTCAATAAAAGACAATGTTACAACACTGAGAATGCATACTGTTAAGTCAAAATGATATTGGTATGTTTGCCACTACAACCAGAATATGCATGACCATCTCAGGTTAGTAATTCTGGGTCTATTTTTAATCTAAAACTGAACATTAATCACTAATATTCAATCTAACCAGAGCATCAGGAACCAATCTCCTCAAGGATAATGGCGCTAAGATTCACCTCAAAAGGAAATAAATTTATGATTATTCATTGCTACGCAGTATTCCTGCAAGAAACTGTTCAGCCAGAACGCGAAAGACAAGCTGTTGCATTGGGCCACCTCAACGTGCACATACCAGTTTACTTGCTCTTGCGGAGCTGAGTACATCAACCGTACCATGCACCAGCTTGAAAAACGCGCCCGTGAACACTATCCAGCCTGGCTAGTAAAAGGAGAACGAAAACTTGTGTATATAGTTCAGTGACAGAACATCTGGTCAATTCAGGACATTCAGCGCTTTACGAAAAACCCATCAAAGTAATATACAAGATTCGATCAAACCTATCGAAGGGAGTGAAATGAAGACATCTGAGCATAGCCGAGGCGCTAGCTATCCAAAAGCTCAAACTCACGCTTTGTATCCAAATGAAATACGTTCAACGCCTGTTCGTGCCTGCCATGGCCATCATAAGCAGGTAATTCTTTTAGTAATGACCATTCCATTGCCTTTCTTATCAAAACTTCCTGTTTATTCATGTTATTTTAAGTTCCTCTTATTCTCTATTTACACTACCATATTCTCATATCTGAACTTCCTGTCTATTTTGTCATTTTATTATTTCTACATATTTAATCCCTGATTGCATAAACAATTATTCGTCACATTAGTTATGAACCCACTAGGTTTTTTATCCAAATATCCTGTCCATCTATTTTTGTTATTTCTACATTTCTAACCCCTAATTGCCCAATATGTCAATCTTCCCAGTAATTATGATGCTACATTGTTTGAGTTTTATCCGTCCCCCTGTTTATTATGGCATTTTAATCCCTAAATGTAATTTTTATTAATTTGACCCTTGACCGGAGATTATTCTGGAACTTCCCCATCCATTTGATATAAATACACGAATGTAGAGCCTAGTTGATGATTTCGTCAAAATGAAAATTTTCTTCTTTACATCTGTCTTATTATTATTCCCTAAAATCACACAGTGTTGTACAGTAATATTAACTGATGCGACCACGTTTCGAGCACAAATTATTGCTCATAATCATATCAAGTCACTCACACAACCTTTTTGCTTCATTTATATGCATGAGCAAAATTGACTAGACATTTGAATAAAATCAGTAATACAGGATAGAGTACATTCATAAATAATATTAGTGTTATCAATCAAATACAATCAGTTGGGAAGTAAGATGTTTTTTACAGTAAAAAATAAGTAACTTGTTAGAATGTTATAATGTACGTGAATTTAATACATTTTAACATTATTTATTATTATCCTTTAATTTGTGTTGAGTCATTTCTGCTACATGTGTTGTGTGTAGACTCGATGAACCAGACAGGATTCAGTAATTAATCTCTCTCTATCTTCACCTAACTATATTACTTCTTAGAATTTTGACTCTATCCCACACACTCTATTGTGTTGTGTTGTGTGTTAATGCATGTGATTTAAAATGAATAAATTGTGTTGGAAAATTTGTCATCCAGTAAATAATAACATTGTTTCACTGTGTCACTGCTATTTACCAGATTCCAAAAAGAAAAAATTCCTCTAGCTTCCTTCTGAGAACAGCAAAGCGACAATCCACTCGACTACCTAAACCGTAAGTTCAGTAATTCGGAAAATCCAATAACACAGGATTTGTCTAGAATACGGTACTATATTACACATGAAATAATGAGATATTATATACAAACCTCCGAATGTGTGGTGTCTGTGGCTGGAAGCCGTCACACGAACATTCGTTGTGCGTCAGTTAGTAAACCTCAGTGGCAAACAAAACTACTCATGGTTATGAAGTAACAGATATAACTCACAGTACTTACAATGGGGAAGTTGTGCAAAAGTAAGTGCAAAATACATCGTTATCGATCGACAGATAGGGACTTGAATTCCATTTCATGAAATTCAGTGACAACAAATTTTTTTTTTTTGATTACAGCTTGATTCCACACTGTATTTTTGGTACAGGTATGGAATTTTCAGCATGGATATCGGTAGCCCAAATTTTGCAGGCAGACCATAGATATCAGGTGTGCGTCGGCAGGGGATCGAACCTCGGACCATGTGAATGGTCGGTGAGAGTCCTAACCACTGTGCCACCGACGCACATATATATATATATATATATATATATATATATATATATAATTCTGTTCCGAATGC